GCCAGGGGGAAGCGACTCGTTCTTTGCGAGGCCAGGCATTTGCGACACCAGCGTCACGAACAAATCGTCCTCCCCAAGCTGCTCCTTGTCATCCTCCTTGGCCTCCTGCTTGGCCTCCTCCTCCTTGACGTGTTCAGCCGGCACCTCCGCCTTTGCTTTTGCCTTTGCTTTGCTCGTGGGCTCGGCCCCAGCTGGACGTTTCCGAGTCGCCTCATCCGAATTCGGTTTTGCACCCGCTGGCCGTTTCATTTTGCCCTTCTTCGGTTTCGGCTGCACGATGGGCGGCGGCTTCTTCAAGCACGTGCCAGAGTCGTCTATGTAGGAGGCTGCGGTGTCCGTCTTCATCTCCTCGTTGAGTTTCGGCCACACAGCCTTCGCAAGGCCCCTCGTCGGCAACGCAGCGCTCTGCCTGCAGCACCTCCCCATTGCTCCGAAGCAACATTGCTTCGAAACGCACCGAGTCGAAGTACTTCAAGATAGTCGTAACATCCTCGATCCCAGCGTCATTATCATCGATCGCCCTGAAGGCAGGCAGGGGGTGTGGTTTTGACGGCCTTGTAGTGGTGGTGTCAATCGCGATCTCGCGAGGTACTTTTCCATACAGGTCCTGGAGCCAATCTGGATGGCTAGGGGTCGCGGCATCGTCGCCCAAACTGCGAAATCCTTTTTAAGATTCTCTCTGAAATGAGCGCAAAGACACCTGTAGCTATAGGCTACGACCTGCAAGCAAACCTCCGTGGTCTCGAAGCCCTTTGCACTGTGCCAGCCATTGAACACATCCTTCGCATCGTCAGTCTGTGAGGCTGCCTTAACGGCTTCATACATGTCCTGTTGGCGAAAGTGGCCGCCTCTTACATCTAACCCGATAAACCCTGTGAGCTCGGCCTGCAATTTCCCCATTGCCTCCGCGTCGAAGCCCGTCTTGAAATCCTTGCCTGGATAGAAAGTGCCCTTGAGAACGTGTTGCACGAAGAGGGGGGCGACGATCGCCAGAAGCATCTCTGCAGTTGTTTCGACGCCTGTGGATCCCCACGCCCTCACGCCGACCATGTATACAATTCAGTATACTGAGCGCCTGGGCTGAAACTGCTCTAGGGGACGAAGGAACATGCTGTCGATGGGAATTTGGCGATGGCGATGGCGATTGATCGCCCCTCCTCCTCCTCCTCCTCCTCCTCCTCCTCGCACGGCCCCTAAACCATCCCTGAATCACGGCCCCTAAGACACCCCTGAAGCACAGCCCCTAAAACAAAACAAACGATGAGTGTTACGACGAGGTCAGGCCAATACAGTCGGCTCCGACCTCTGATGGCGATGAATACGATGACCATGACTTTTTCCTGCTAGCTGCAGGCGCATTGTAGCAAGGCTGCCTGGCCCGCAACCCCTCAGGCAACTCTTCGCCAGGATGCGCGATCGACCGCAAAACACGCGCGTCGCGCCTCTTCTTGCGCTCACGGGCCTCGGCATTGCAATCAGCCTTGGATTTGCGAGCTCGGCGCTTGGCAGCAGAACCTTTGTTCTTGCCCTTTGCCGTGCTCTCGTCCGGCTCTTGCCATTGCCCTTGCCCTTGCCCTTGCGAGCTCGACGCTGGGAGGCAGAACTCTTGCCCTTGCCCTTGCCCTTGCGAACTCGACGCCTGGTGGCAGAACTCCTGTTGCCCATGCTTTTGCCCTTGCGAGCTCGACGCCTGGTGGCAGAACTCCTGTTGCCCTTGCCCTTGGCCTCGTCCTGAAAGCTCAGCTTGTCCTTGCCCTTGCCCATGGCCTTGTCCTTGCCCAGAGCTCACCCCCGACGAAGGCACGTGATGGCGCAGCGACTCGACGAGAGCTCGTCGAAGATCATCAGAGTTGGCGCTTTGCACTTCTGTGCCAGAGTCCGTCTGCAGATCTGCGGGAGAAGGATAGACCTCATCCACCTCCTTTGCAGGAGAAGGATAGACCTCCTCCACCTCCTCTGCGGGAGAGGGATAGACCTCCTCCAGCTCATCCGTCGGAACCAAGAGGAACGATGCTGAACTGCTTGGGCCTAAAACTGCTCTAGGACAAAATATGACGATCAGATGATGGCGATGGCGATGGCGAGGTCAGGCCAGGTCAGTATCCAAGAGATCCGACCTCGGCTCCGACCTCTGATAAGATGATGAGGAGGAGGGGAATCAGGAGGAGGAGGGTGAGGAATTGAAAGGCACATGTGTTCTATATATATATATGTATCGGGATGCGAATGATGATAAGATGAGCAGAGATGGGGATCCCCAAGATGCTAACATGTACATGTGTGATCCCCAACATCAAGATGGGGATCGCAGCTACTAGCATGATCTTCTTCTTTTCTTGGGTATCGGAAGTCCTGGGAGGAGGAGGAGGAAGACGGCCCGGCGGCCGGGGGCGCCGCCTCCGGGGCCAGGGCCCGAGGCCTCGCCACCGCCTCCTTCAGCTCGGCCAGCTCCTGCCGGCAGTGCGCACCGCAGACCCGGACCCTCCTCCTCCTTCTCCTCCTCCTCCTCCACCTCCTCCTCCTCTTCCTCCTCCTCCTCCTCGTCCTCCTCCTCCTCCTCCTCCCCCTCCTCCTCGTCCTCATCCTCCCCCTCCTCCTCCCCCTCCCCCTCCCCCTCGAGCAATGAAAACATCACGACGGGAGGTTTTTCGCCGTTGTCGGCCTCTGGGGGCCCTTTTGGGAGCGGCCAAGAGGGGGGCGTCCAAGAGGGGGGGGCGCAAATCATGATCGGCGGCATGTGCGCGGCCCAGCGGGGGGGCCAGGGACGTAATGAAATAAGAAGAGGCGCCATGAGATCTGGGAAATATCCCCCCGCCATGATATCCCCCCCCCCTCGTCATCACCCCCCTCTTTTCCGTCCCCGATCTGGGGGCCCTTACCGGGCCCCGGGACCGTCAAAAAACGACTCAGGATGAAAAGCCGGTCCCGGGGAGCAGGTCGAAACCTCTGGGGGCCGACGTCATGAAAAGTCATGACGTCGGGGGTCTGGGGAGGATCCATGGGCTCCAGGTGATCTATGGAGAGGGGCGGAGGCGTCAACGAGGATCGGTCGGAGCGCACCTCTGGAGCGTGCAGGGTCCGGGTTCGGGTGCAGGATCCTGCAGGATCCTGCAGGGTTGCGCAGGCTCCTGCAGGGCCCGGGCCACCCGGGTCTGGGTTGATCCAGATCCCCGAGATGAGGGGAAGGCCCGGGGAAGGTACCGAGACCAGCAACCTCCGATCGTCCCAGACAGTCGACGTCGTGATTTTTTCAGGACGGCGTCCCCGGAAGTCCCGACCCCTTCCCCGGGGCAAGTTTTTCATCCCGAGTCGTTTTTTGACTGTGCTGGGGCCCGGCGAGGGCCCCCAGTAGCCGAGTATATGGAGGAACAAACTCGCCGCCCTCACTTTTTTCACGACACGGTCATGTCTGGGGGGAAGGCCCAGGGAAGGCATCGAGACCTTCGACCCAGACCCCCGACGTCATGAATTTTTCATGACGCGACCCCCAGAGGTCCAGACCCATTCCCCGGGACCGGTTTTTCATCCCGAGTCGTTTTTTGACGGTCCCGCGGCCCGGTAAGAGCCCTCAGAGGCCGAAAATAGCGAAAAACCTCCCGTCGTGATTTTTTCATGACTCGAGGAGGTCTGGGGATGGCTCTCCCCCTGCTGGGGCCCCCTGCAGAGGCCCCCGTCGCCACCGCGGCGCCGACGCCGCTGCCCTTCCGCCCGCCCTCCCCTGCTCGGGGGCCTCCTGGGAAGGCCGCCCGTCGACCTCCGTCCTCCTCCTCCCCTCCTCCTCCTCCTCCTCCTCCCTCCTCCTCCTCCTCCCTCCTCCTCTCCTCCCTCCTCCTCCTCCTCCTCCTCCTCCTCCTCCTCCTCCTCCCTCCTCCTCCTCCTCCTCCTCCTCCTCTCCCTCCTCCTCCTCCTCCTCCTCCTCCCCCTCCTCCTCCTCCTCCCGCACCCCGCCGGCGGCGCGCGCGGGGGGGCGGGGGAGGAGGCGCGAGGGGCGCGGCGCGCCGAGGAGACCGGGGGGGGGGCTCCGCCCGCCCGGGCCCAAGAGGGCACCGGCCTTCTTCTCGGGCGCGCCACCTGCCCTTAGAACAGGGCTAGGATCGGGATAATCGGGAGCGGCCAAGAGGGGGGTGTCCAAGAGGGGGGGGTGCAAATCATGACCGGCGGCATGTGCGCGGCCCAGCGGGGGGGCCAGGGACGTAATGAAAGAAGAAGAGGCGCCATGAAACCTGGGGGAAAATCATGGCCCCCGCCATGATATCCACCCCCCCCTAGTCCTCACCCCCCTCTTTTCCGCCCCCGAGATAAATCGCTCCTGGGAGTCGACGATTAATTGTGTCTGTGTGTTTCCTCCCCTCCTGATATGGGTGCGCGGTGAGGATGCGCAAAGGCCACTCGCCGCCCTCGCCGCAGCCGAAGAGAGCGGGGCCCGTGGTCCAATGGCCAGGGGCTGGGATGGGGCCAACGGGCAGGGCAAGACGAAGAAAGGACGAGGACAAATTCGGATGATAAAACAGGGCTAGGATCGGGATAAATCGCTCCAGAGCGTTCCGGAGCGCTCTCAGAGCGTTCCCGAACGCTCTGGAGCGGCCGCGGCGCCCAATACATCCTCCAGACCCGCCGATTCTCAGAGACTTCGAGTTATCCCGATCCGATTTTGTCCCGATCTTCGTGTCGTTTTATGCCCTCTCCGACGGCCACCCCCTTCGCACACACCCCTTCTGTGCGCACCGCCCAGTCCTGCTGCAGCAGGTCGGCGTGCTCGGCGTAGCTCCGCGAGAACTTCTCCCAGTCGCGCCGGAAAGCGACCAGGTCCAGCGCCTTCGCCGGGCCCCGGAGGTGGAAACAGCCGTTGACGAACTCTAGAAAGTCAATGCTCCCAGAGCCGTCGAGGTCGATCAAGTCAAACAGGAATCGGTGCTCATCGGTGGAGATGTTGATTGCCTCGAAGTACATCTTCATGCTCTCGTACATCTGCACGTCGTCGTGGTCGGTCACGCACTCCTTCAGGCGTTCGTGGGTGATGAAGTCTTTGTCTCCGCGGGCTTTGTTCCACAGAGCGAGCAACGAATGGTACAATAGAGTCTCCTTGTCTTTGGTCGCTGCATCCAGAGCCGACTCGACAAACACACCAGTGACAATGTCCGCCTCGATGAAAAAACGACAGTGCGTATGAGAGAATTGGGTATCCACCTCCCGACGCCGCCCCTCCACTAGTTGCCAAGTGGGGCTGATACTCCCTTACTCCGAATACCTTGGAACCCTCAACAGGGACCCAACATACCACAACACTCCGTCAGAGGGCACAACAGTGAAACGTGTGTAAAAATTAACCCAGGGTGTCCCACGACATGTTGCTGAACAACTGTCCCAAGTCAGAGCTGCCACGGCCAATGTTCAAACCCGACCACGGTCATGTCTGCATAACGGTAAGACATGGCCATGGACATGGATTGCCCCCCTTTCGCAGATTCACGCTTTCTGCACGTCACGGGGTGACGACTTGAACAAAAGGCGATGTGGTGATGGATGATGGTGTTGATGGCGAGATGGGTGATGTTGATGGTGGCGGCAAGCAAAGATGTCAATGATGGATGGTGGTGAACAGGAAGAGATAGAGCGAGAGAGAGAGAGGGGAAAACAAACGAACAAACAAGCAAGAGGAAACCAACGCATCAGAACATGAAAACAGAGAGATAGCGAGGGAAACAGAGAGCGATATACATGTATATAGATAGGAATAAATAGAGAGAAAGAGAAACAGACAGAGAGAGAGAGATATTACCACTAGAAAAATGAGAAGGTGAGGGTGGAGAAGGGGAGAGCAAGAGAGAGAGAGAGTGAGAGATAACAGCAAACCAAACACAAATAACACAATCATGATATACCTAACAAGAAGGAGGAGGAGGGATGAGGAGGCAACGCCTCGTTTTCTCGAAACGGAGCTGGAATGCCACGGGGGTGTTTGTTGAGCGTCGTTGAATTGGGCCCCTGAAAGCTGGCTCGTGCTTGGCCGGAAGCCTACGAACCTGCTTGGTTGAAAGCCTACGTACGCGCGCATGCTCGTGCGCGCCATGGGCCTGCTTGGCTGGAAGCACACCTGCCCATGGTGGCGTCTCCTGCCATGCTGACGCCTCCCCCCCATGACGAGTGCAACTCCCTGATCCGCGCCGTCAGGTCAGCAATTTTTAATCGTGCAGCTGGCTGGCTCCACGACGGCGCCCGGGAGGAACTCACGCGGGTCTCTCCGGGGCAAGGGGACGGGGGGTGGGATGACAACCTGAGTGCGCTCGCGTCATATCTGACGTCCTAGCGCCCCCCCATCCCATCCCTTACCATGGCGAAGATCTCCTCTCTATCCGCACACTCGGATGCCGTGTCAGAGCATAGCATCACATGGCATGGCATGGTGTTGAACACCAAACAGTATCCTGAAATAGCATGGCGTGGCGACGCCCCAAAGTGCGGGGTCTTCTGCGTTCCAGAAAATCAGCGAATCGACACCGAATGTGTCATCATTTCCGATGGTTTCTTCGGGGGGGCATTCTGTAGATGTTTGGGCCCGTGTCGCTGGAAATAATGACGCCAACGCTGCAGCGGGAACACGATTCGGAACGAGCGTAAGCGCGGAAAAGAGGCCAACGCTGCAGCGGGAACGCGATTCGGAGGACGCGTGGCCTGCCATAGCATGGCGTGGCGAGGCCCAACCAGGGGGGGGGGTTTCTGCTGTCCAAAAGACAATCAATCGACACCGAATGCGCAATCATTTCCGATGGTTTTTGTTCGGGGGGGCATTCTCTAGATTGTGGGGCCCTTTTTGTAAGGACCGAAAACCACGCCGTGACATGGCGCTGAACATAATGACGCCACCGCTGCAGCGGGAGCACGATTCGGAACGGGCAGAGGCGCGGAAATGAGGCCAGCGCTGCAGCGGGAGCGCGATCCGGAACGAGTTGACGCCCGAAAATGAGGCCAGCGCTTCAGCGAGCGCAGCGTTTTGCCCAAAGGTGCCCCAGCGAAAACCTCACTCCCAGGAGCCAGGGAACCCAATGTGAGAACATGGTACGCGGAGGGGGGCCGAAAATTCCCCGCGCGTCACCAGGGGAGAAAGGAGAGTAGTATTCATTTTGTAGAATTTCGGGGGCGGCAAAGAGGGGGGTGTCCAAGAGGGGGGGGTGCAAATCATGGCCGGCGGCACGTGCGCGGCCCAGCGGGGGGGCCAGGCACGTAATGAAACAAGAAGAGGCGCCATGAAATCTGGGGAAATATCATGGCCCCCGCCATGATATCCACCCCCCCCTAGTCATCACCCCCCTCTTTTCCGCCCCCGAGATTTGTGAAGGGGAGGGAAACGAGGAAGAAGAGGACGAGGAGGAGGAGGACAGGCCTTGTCCTCGCCGCCGGCACGGTCGGCGAAGTCCCGCTGGCGCGCCGTCGGCCCGACCTCGCCATCGGGCTCGCCCACGGGCGCGCGCGCTCGAAGACCGGGAGGAGCCGCGCGGGCTTCGGCGGCATAAGCGCCCCGAGGGTGGGCCGCGTGAGCTCCGGCGGCCGCTTGTAGAGCCCGCTGGAACAGGGCGCCGAAGGGCTCGAGGGTGTGGCTGGAAGCCTGGATGTTTCGCCATGGCATCTATCTTCGGTTTTTTTCCCCAACGACGACGGGAAGCTGACCTCGCCTGTCCCTCGGGCCTCCGCCCGAGAAGAGCACGCGTCGAGGATGGTGTCCACCCCGTGCAATAACTGGGCGTTTTCGGGGGATCGAAGCTGCATCGCGCCAAAACGCGCCGCCCGCACCTGACGCCCGACATTTACTTCAAGAGTCCCCAACCCGCGTGGAGTGACCTGGTGGGCGCACGAGACCAACGTGCCCAAGCGCCCCCTGTATGACGGGGTCGATGACAAGCACGAACAACGAGGTGCACCCCCCCCTTCCCCTCGAGGATAATCTCATCGGCATTGACTGCGAACTTCAAATTGCACCAATGCCCTTCATGCCCTGGAAAATTTCAGCTCGCCGGCTGCCTGGGCTAGAACCACCGCTGTGTCGAATCACTCGATACATCGATGATGTGGCCTTCAATCAGAGGCGCCCCCCTTTTCGACACACGCACTGGCGGCCCCCAACCCATACATCAATCTCGACCATAGGTTGCTGATCGTTGCTCTCACGACGGCAATCACTTGCGAACTCGTGCCAGCGGTAAGCGGCCGGCCGATGCCACGACGCGCGCAGGAATGGCGATCGCTCACAGCTCCCGCGCGCCACCGCACGCAAGAAAAAATCCCGAATCCCGTCGATGTTCTCTGAGAAACCATGGGCGACGGGATTGATCCTGAACGACAGGTCGTCGCACTCTGGTTCCATGGCGCGGCATCGCACCATCCCCGGTTGGTTTCGCCCATCCTTGAGCCCTCCGCCCAGGGGCAACGCGGGAGAAACTGGGGCGCGCAGCGCTTAGCTGGAAGCGCGCGCCCACGCCGTGGCGCGGTAGCGCGTCGGACTCACGCACGCGGAAGCGCGCGGGGTAGCGCCGTCGTTGCAAGACGGCGGCGACGATGCGGATGACGATGCGAACGTTGGGATGCGGACGACGATCAGGAGGCAATAGCTTCGCCGCGAACTAAGACGACGGCGATGACGCTGAGTAGGACGATAATGACCGCCATGGCATATCGAGCGCAAACGGTGAGGATGAAGATGACGAAAATGACGGTAATCACGATGATGGCGGCAACGATGATGCTGATGATAACGGCGACGACACGGAGGACGATGATGAGGACGACGGTGATTGTGCGACATCAAACGCAACAAGCATAAGCATGGACGTATCTGTGGCCGCACAATGCACATGGCAATGCTGGCGCCCGTGGCATCTGCACTTTTGACAATCTTGGAGGGCTTGACTAGCAATGTGCCGTGCCCACTATCCCCATGCCCCTTGCCACCCTGCCACTCCCTGGCAAAAGTTCGTTTGCCATGCCCTGTTGCACTTGCCCTGCAGCTGATGGAACGATGTCGCTTATGAATGAATGAGCACCCGAAGACAGGTCACATAACCACATTCAAACAAACGAAAAAATCAGGGCAAGGGCAAGGTCGCTCCTTGCCTGGCCTCCTTGGCCTGGATGCGCTGAATCAGCGCCTGCAGCCTGACCTCGTAGCCTGGCACCTCCAAAGGCGCAGCAAGCACCTGCTGCGGACAAGCCACATCCTGGTCCCACGCGTATCCGTAACCCGTTCGGTTCAATCCGCTGGGTTCACCCGAGCGCCGAATCGTCGGCTCGGGCAGAGCAGCGCTGACACGACGCGGCAGGGCGTGCAAGCAGTGGACCCCGCCTCAGAACGAAGACAGACTGCGATGCTCGCAAGAAGGCCCCCCCGCCACGTCCCGTACCTGACTACCTACCAGACCACCCCAACCCAACCCGAAGACCTCAATTTCGGGTTAGGGGGGGTTCGGGTTCCATGTGTGTTTTTTTCCATGTTCCCCGACCCCACCCCAGTTTGGTAGGTGGCGAGTACCCATCCGACCCCGTCCCATGTTCACTTTTATTAAACCAGAAGCTGGGTGAGACTTACCCAGAAGAAGCGTGCCTCCAGAACCTCATTCGTGCCTGGCGCGAGCTGTCCAGCAAAGCGGGCGGCGTGCACGCAAGCGGTCGGGCAGCCCACGAGTGCAGGCAATGCAGGAGTGCACGCCGTGAGCTGCTGGGACGCTCGCGTTCGGAGGAGAGTGAGCTGCTCGATCGAACGCGCTGGGCTGCTGGCAGCCAGGCCCTCGGGACTCGCCCCGGCCGTGCGTGCTTCGGTGTCCGGCGGCGTGGCGCAGGCCTCTTGGATTGAACAGCGCAAAGATCGCGAAGGCCGTGTAAAAACATAAAACGGTGGAGATCCACGGGCTGAAGTACTTCATGAGCGGAGAGGACAGCTCGTACCAGCTTATGCCGTTCGTGATGGCCTGGTAGAGGGACAGTATGGTGTTACCAAGGCTCCCGAAGTACATCGATAGATCCATCACGTCCCCCTCGAGCGCCTGTGGATCTTCACGTCGGAGTTCGACCATGTAGTCTGAAACCAGCTGCGTCAGGTACACCCCCACAACATACATCACCATAATGAGCAGCGCGCAGGTCCAGCACAACGACCTCATTGACCCAATGATCTGAATGACGATGGTTCGCAACTCGCCGATGAAGCGAAGCACGCGCACCAGTCTCATGATCCGGATCAGCCGCAGTATCCGCAGTATTCGCATGATGGTGAAGTCACTGCCGAATCCCTGGTCACCTTTCCCCATGTGCATGGTGTCCATGACGAACAGGATCATCTCCTCCGCAATCTGCATAGTCACGAGAATGGTGTCGAACGAGTTCCACATCCACTTGGAGCTCGCGCAGCTGAAGAACTGCCGGCCGTCCACCATGGCCCTCAGAATTAGGTGGGACAGGTCCCCCTACAGGCGGAGCTCGGACGAAACATCAAAACAAACAAGTAAAATCGCCCCGGACTATTTTTTGACTAAGTTTGAGTTTGTCCTCCTGTGAAGGGACATGCCCGACCTAACCTCAGAATGAGCTCGGCGGTGAACGCCACGCAGAAGAACAGCTCGACGGCGCGCATTGCGACGGGCACCTTGTTGGTGCCCTCCCTGGCCATGTAGTCCGCCTTGGTGGGCTTGCTTCCCACCGCCACCACCATAAGTAGGAGGGGGAGGGGTCCTCCTCCTCCTCTTCCTCCTCCTCCTCTTTCTCCTCCGTCTCCTCCCCCTCTTCTCCACCTCCTTCCCCCCTCCAACTTATGGTGGTGGTGGTGGAAAAGAGACTCATCACCGCCTGCACGCCGATGGACAGGGCATTGGCCATGATAAGCAGCCCGGAGATATAACCCGACGACCCCTTCTGGGTCTCTTGGCGTGTGAGACTCTTGCCCCCCCCATAATTCCCCCCCCCAGGAGCCCAAACTGGCAATCCGACCACCTCCCCAGGAGCCCTGGACAAAACTTCCCACCCTCTCGCCCCGTACGAACGCGCCCTGCGGCCCGCTCGCCCCACACGAACGCGCCCTGGATGCGGGTAATACTGTTATCCATATCCAGAGCACCTTGGACTTCTTGGGAAGGGGTGCCGCAAGGCCGAAGCGCACTAGCTTTGGATACAAATCTAGCTTTTGGGGGCCAGATTATCAATATCCAGTGCGCCTTCGGTTTCTGGGAAAGAGAGCCCAAAACTCCAAGACGCACTGGATGTGGATACAACTATTATAGCCCGCACTGGAGGGATGGAGGACCCCAAAACAAGCCAAAAGGGCCCCAAGAGGCTCCCGAGAAACTCCGCGAGAGCCCCGAGCTGCCGAAAGATCTCTCCGAGACGCTCAAGCTGGCCTCCACACGCCCCCAAATGCCCCCTAAGACGCCCCAACGGGCGTCCAAGAAGCCCCCACGAAGTATTCCAAGAAGGCTCCCCGCGAGGCAAGCTTCGTTATGTTTCCATTGGTTTTTGCAAATTGACTCGCCTCTTCGCCTTTTCGACTCCCCGACGCTCCAAGGCGGCCCGGGAGACCCACAAGATCGTTCCAACACAGCTCAAAAAGCCTCCACGAGGGCCCCAACACGGAGCAAGAGGGCCTCCAAGAGGGAGCCCAGACGGTGGATCCAAACGCACACTTCGAGCCTTCACTCTGGAGAGCCCCCCCGGAGGCCCCAAGAGGCCTCCAAGAGGTCCTCAGGAAGCCTAAAGAGGCCCCAAGATGCTCCAAAGAGGTGCCCCCACACGGCCCCAGATGCCCCCAAGACGCCTCCGGGGGCGTCCATGAAGCCTCCACGAGGTCTTCCAAGAGGGCTCCACTAGGCCAGATTCGTCAATTGTCCAATGGTTTTTGCAAGTTTGTTTGCCACTTCGCCTTTTCGGTTTCCCGACGGTCCATCACGTCCCCAGCGACCCACAAGATCGTTCCAACACGGCTCAAAAAGCCTCCACGAGGGCCCCAACACGGCGCACGAGGGCGGCAAGATTGCCAAGAGGTCTCCAAGGCAGCCCAAGAGGCTCCCAAGACGCCTCCAAGAGGGAGCCCATGGATCCAAACGCACACTTCGAGCCTTCACTCTCGAGAGCCCCCCAGGAGGCCCCAAGAGGCCTCCGAGAGGCCCCCAGGCAGCCTGAAGAGGCCCTCATGGGGCGCCCAAGAAGCCTCAAGAGGGCTCCACCAGGCCAGACTCGTTAGTTGTCCACTGTTTTATTTGCAAGCTGTTTCGCCTCTTCGCCTTTTCGGTTTCCCCACTGCCCATCTCGTCCCCACTGCCCACACAAGATCGCTCCACAACGGCCCACAAAGCCTCAAAGAGAGCTCCAACACGGCGCAAGAGGGCCCCAAGACGTCCCAAGAGGTCTCCAAGACGGCCCAAGAGGCTCCCAAGACGCCTCCAAGAGGGAGCCCAGACGGTGGCCAAACGCACACTTCGAGCCTTCACTCTCGAGAGCCCCCCAGGAGGCCCCAAGAGGCCTTCATGAGGCCCCCAGGAAGCCTGACGAGGCCCCAAGATGCTCCACAGAGGTCCCCCCACACGGCCTCAGATACCCCCAAGACGCCTCCGGGGGTGTCCACAAAGTATTCCAACAAAGCTCCACCAGGCAAGATTCGTGGAGTAGCCACTGGTTTTGCTAGTTGGTTTGCATTCTCGCCTTCTCGGTCTCCCGACGCTCCAAGGCGGCCCCGGAAACCCTCAAGGTTGCTCCAACACGGCTCAAAAAGCCTCCAAGAGGGCTCCAACACGGCGAAAGAGGGCCCCAAGACGTCCAACGAGGTCTCCAAGACGGCCCAAAAGGAGACGCCTCCAAGTGGGAGCCCGGACGGTGGATCCAAACGCCCACTTCGAGCCTTCACTTTCGAGAGCCCCCCAGGAGGCCAAAAGAGGCCCCCAAGAAACCCGCAGGAAGCCTGACGAGGCCCCCAAGATGCTTCACAGAGGTCCCCCCACACAGCCCCAATGGCCCCAAAACATTCCAAGAGGCATCAAAGAAGCCTCCACGAGGTATTCCAGCAGGGCTCCCCACGAGGCAACATTCGTGAACTATCCGTTGGCTTTTGACGGGGTATTCGCGTTCTCGCATTTTCGGTTCCCCGATGCTCGAAGACGGCCCCGGAAACCCTCAAGATCGCTCCACAACGGCACACAAAGCCTCAAAGAGGGCTCCAACACAGCGCAAGAGGGCCCCAAGACGTCCCAAGAGGTCTCCAAGACGGCCCAAGAGGCTCCCAAGACGCCTCCAAGAGGGAGCCCAGACAGTGGATCCAAACGCACACTTCGAGCCTTCACTTTCGAGAGCCCCCCCGGAGGCCTCAAGAGGCCCCCAAGAGGCCCCCAGGAAGCATGACAGCCTGACGAGGCCCCCAAGATGCTCCCCAGAGGTTCCCCCACAGGGCCCCAGATGCCCCCAAAACATTCAAAGGGGCGTCCAAGAAGCCTCCACGAGGTATTCCAAGAGGGCTCCAAGAGGATTCGTGCATTTCCCGCGGCGGCTCCAGCAGGACCTCCACAGAGCACGAGGAACCCTGAGAAAACCTGCCGCTGACACCACCGAACAAAAACTAAGACACATCCGAAAAACACACAAAAGACTTCACGGACGCACAGAAAAGACCCCGGGAAACTACCTACAATCAAGAGGCCGGCGGATGTGGCGTAAGCCCGTAGAATCAAACGCAGAGCTGCTGACGAACTCGGAGAGCCATGTTGGCACGCAGCGACTGTGCGTCTCCCGCTCCTGGGCCCAGATGTCCATCATTTGCTGCCGGATGTGTTCGGGCGCAACGCCCAAGTTGGCGCTCGAAAGCCCTCTCGTAAGGATAGAAGTCTGAGTAAGATCTGTTCGCCCAGTGGACGGTGTAGCCTCATTGAACGGTGCAGCCACACTGGACGGTGTAGCCACATCGATCTCCGACTGTGAGCGATATACCTCGGCGTTCCTCGCTTTCGTCTGATTCCGCGGCGAATTCCGCGTCATTTGCGTCGCTCCCTCCTTCTGCGCAACGAAAGGGGTATAGTGGCGCACTGACGTCTGGGACATGAGGCTCATCCTCCTGTCACCACAAGGCTCAGACCGGAGGCTTGTTTGGCTTGGACGACTGATCTCAGAGTTGAACATCCTCGGACGGGACATGCCGCCTCCCTTGTTGCTCTCGTCCTTGTTACACCGGAATGCAGACAGACCCAACGCCCTTGAAAACGATCCGAAAATGGAGGTGGACGTGGATATAGTTAGGACGGTGAACGTGTGTATACATATATATATATATGTGTATATATATGTATGTACATATATATATATATATATACATACAGATATGCATATGTGAACGCATGTGTAGCTATACATACAGATTCATACATATATATATATATATATAGAATGGCCCCCCGGGCCTGACACTGTCCGTATCCACCGCCTGCTGGGGCCCAGCGGAATCGGTTCCCCAGGCGATGCACATGTCTGCATTCTGGCCCCCGGATCCTCGCACTCCTCCGCCTGCTCCTTGGGGCTCTCGAGCGTGAGCGCCGACAGGCCCGACTTCCGGGACCCCCGCCACCTCTCCCGGCGCCTGCCCTGCAGGGCCGGGGACAGCGACTGCGACTCCGAGTCGAAGACCTGCGCGGGAGGCGGACGTACGGAGAGCCCGCGCTGCGGAGCCAGCACCGGCGCACGGGCGCGGGAGGGGTGCCCGGGGCCCCGGGGGGCCTCGAGCGCCGGGGTGGAGGCGCCAGCCGGGGCAGCCTGTGCAGGGCAGCGGGGGCGGGTCGAGGGGCGGAGCGCGCAGCCATTGCCAGACAGTGAGGCCATTGCGAATCGCCGGCTTCCATTGGGACTCCCTCGAAGAAGAAGTTCCATCGGGGTCTCGAAGCTTCTGGGCTCGATTTTCGTAATGGCGTTCCCGCCCTGACTTCTTCCGAAACAGGAGCTGGAGCCTATTCGGGCTCGTTTCGAGATAGAACTTCCGCCCAGGACTTGTTGTTGAAAACTGGACTTCTACACTCTTCAGGCTCGACTTCGAGCTGGCGCTCCCGCCACAGATTTCCTGGATAATCCCACCAGCCCTTTAGGGCGTAGGTGGTCTAGGGAGTTTCCTCTGCCAACCCCCTTCTTCCCCTTCGGGGAGGGGTTTACCCCTCCCCTTACCCCTCCCCACTGACCTGGACGGGGCCGGTCGCGAGGTGTCAGAGCGTCCAAGATGGCCCAAGACAACTCCAAGAGCGAACAGGCGAGAAAACACAAAACATTGATTTTACCTAGGTTTTGGAAGGATTTTGGCATCTTGGGGGGGTCCAAGAGGCGACTCGAGGCACTCTGGAGGGGCGGGGCTAATAAGGAAACCCCCCTTCTTTGATAGATCTCCTCCAAGATGGCCCAAAGAGCGCCCCGAAGGCTCCCAAGAGCGCCCCAAGAGCGCCTCAAGAGGGCCCCAAGAGACCCCAAGAGGCCCCCAAGAAGCCTCCAAGACGTTGCCAAGAGACCCCCAAGAGGCCCCAAGAGAGTCCAAGATGACCCAAGACGGCTCCAAGAGCGAAAAGGCGAGAAAACACAAAACATTGATTTTACCTAGGTTTTGGAAGGATTTTGGCCTCTTGGGGGGGTCCAAGAGGCGACTCGAGGCACTCTGGAGGGCCGGGGCTAATAAGCAACCCCCCCTTCTTTGATAGATCTCCTCCAAGATGGCCCAAAGAGCGCCCCGAAGGCTCCCAAGAGCGCCCCAAGAGCGCCTCAAGAGGGCCCCAAGAGACCCCAAGAGGCCCCCAAGAAGCCTCCAAGACGTTGCCAAGAGACCCCCAAGAGGCCCCAAGAGAGTCCAAGATGACCCAAGACGGCTCCAAGAGCGAAAAGGCGAGAAAGCAACAAACATTGATTTTACCTAGGTTTTGGAAGGATTTTGGCCTCTTGGGGCGCCCAAGAGGCGACTCGAGGCACTCTAGAGGGGCAGCGCTAATTGGGGAACCCCCCTTCTTTGATAGATCTCCTCCAAGATGGCCCCAAGAGCGCTTCGAAGGCTCCCAAGAGCGCCCCAAGAGCGCCCCAAGAGAGCCCCAAGAGGCCCCAAAAGGCCCCCACCCAGATCATTGATTCCTGGAATTTTCCAGGTGCGACCGGTCGCGACGGTAGCGTTCAGGGTGGGTCGGTAATATCGGTAGCGGTCGCGGCAATATCGGTCGCGGTCGCCTTCGGTAACATGTCGGTCGCGGTCGGTAGCATGTCGGTCGCGGAGTCGGTCGCGGTCGGTAACAAGTCAGTCGCGGATCGGTCTGGGTTCGTCGACAGCAGGGGGGGGCGATCTGACAATGAAAGAAGAGTTTCGTCTGACCGTACCAGTTTCGGTCTGACAATAATCTGACGTCAGGTCATTGTCAGATCAATGTTCTGACAATGATCTGACGCCATACGATTGTCACATCGGTGTGGGCAGACGACTTGCTTGAGCTTCCTCTCCTTCTTGTCCCTTTCACGTCCTTCCTCTCCGTGCTTCCTCCTCGTCCTCCTCCGTATCTCTGTCGCATCCTGCCCCCCCCCCCGCCTCTGCGTGCCGACTGTCGTTATCTTCCAAATCCTCCCCCACCGCCCCTTCTCTTCCCCTGCTACCCGACCGCCCTTTCTCAGCTGCTCCAGCTCCTCCCTCCTCTCCTTATTTCTTCGTTGGGCTCAAGCGCCATGGAGGTGGACGCCACGTGCCTGTGGATTGAGCACGATGGGGGGCCCGCCCCCCCAGGGCTCGGGATCCCATGGCGCGTCGCGGAGATTGGGGAGGTCCCGCCAGGCCTCCCCATGACCAGCGGGCGCAACCGCAAGCCGAGCAGGAGCTGGATCGCCCCTGCTCTGCTGCAGATGACACCCCGCCCGTGGGCGGGGTGTCCAAATTTTATCGCGGTCACTGGCTATGGAGGCCAGTGGCCCCGAGAGGGCTGGAAGGTGGACGAGGGGTGGGCGCCAGGTCAGCCTGGGGCGCTCACCTTGATGCCCGTGCGGTGCTCCGAAATCCTGATGTCGTGGAGCGAAGACGGCCGCGTGCGGGTGCAGTGGTACGTGCGGGTGCCGTGCCTGCCCTACCGCTTGTACTTCATGCGGCGCTGAGGGTTGTGCGGGATAAAAAACTCCCCTCTTCCTCCATTCTTGTCATCCCTCCTCTTCTTCCATTTCCCCTTCATATTCCTTTTCCCCGCTTGGAAACGGGGGAGCGATGAGGAGGCGGGGATCTCGGGACTGAGCGGGACAGGGAGACAACTGGAGATCTCGGCACTGATAGATATACATATATATATATGTAGGGGGAGAGAGAGAGAGAGAGAGAGAGAGAGAGAGAGAGAGAGAGTTGAGAAGTGAGAGCTGAGAGCTGAGAGAGAGAGGGGGAGAGAGAGAGAGAGAGAGAGAGAGAGAGAGAGAGAGAGAGAGAGAGAGAGAGAGAGAGAGCTTTGCCATGGGGCCGAAGGCTTCTGCGAAGCCCCGCAGGTCGGCTGCCGACCTTTAAAATGACAGGGGGGAGGGGGGGGGGGATGGACAGGGGAAGGAGAAGGAGGAAGAGGGCTTCCAAGGGGGAGGAGGGGGGGAGAGGGGAAGAAAGGACAAGGAGGAGGGGGGAAAGAGAAGGGCGAATACGAGGAGGAGAAGGAGCGCCGCTAAGCCATTTTGGCCAAGGGCACTCTCGCCCCGCCCCTGCGCGGGCTCTTTACCCCCTCCAGCGGACGGATGTCCGCGGGCGCCGAGTTTGATGGCGTTTCCCCATTGGGCCGTTCCTTGTTAGAGTATATCGCGCTGGAGGGGGTAAAGAGCTCATTCAATCTGGGGCACTACTACTTTCTGCACAAGGACCACGCGGCCCACGGCCCGAGCATCGCGGCCATGGACGGCCTGGTGGTTGGCAGTTTGAACCACGCCCGTTTTTTTCCCCTCTGCCAACCCTCCTGATGGCGGGGGGGAGGGGGGGGGGGCTTCAAGAATCAGAGGAGGCTTTCCCAACCCCCTCCACGATCCAGAGGAGAGGGGGGTCGGGGCGCCTCCTCTGAATCTCATTGATCATTAGTTGTATTTATCCTTCACCCTCCCTGCCCCCTCCTGCCCCAGGTGGCAGTGCTGCTGGCGGCCAGCCCAGACGCAGAGATCCCCTTCGTCCCCCTGCGCACAGCGTGCGCAGCCGTGCTGGGCAGGCTGCCCGACGACGACGATGTCGAGGGCGATAGTTTTGAGACGTTCGTTTTTATGTTGGTACCCCGTGCGCGTTCAGATATTATTACTTGTTATGTTCCCTCTTCGTTTCTCGAACTTCTTCAAATATTCAGTCCGTTGCCCATCTGGAGCGGAGGTTTAGGGCGAAGGGGGATGATGGGGGGAGGCGGGAGAAGAAAGAGAAGGATGGACGACGATGAGGGCGGGGGGGAGGGGGGAGAAGGCGGAAGAGCATAAGGGATGATGAGGGAGAGAGGTCTGGTGAATAAGGAGGGGGGGCAAGTTGGAAGCGATCGGAACGTGGGGGGGAATTCAAATCTGACGACCGTCTGATGTCAGACGATTGTCAGGTTGGCAATTTTCAATCTGACGGTCATCTGACGTCAGACGTTCGTCAGGTTTGAGGTTCATTTCTGACGACCATCTGACGTCATGCGATTGTCAGGCTGGCAGGTCCCAATCAGACGGTCTGGTTGGAACAACCCTACCTGACAATCGCATGACGTCAGATGGTTGTCAGATTTGAACCGCAAACCTGACAAACGTCTGACGTCAGATGACCGTCAAATTGAAAGTTGCCAACCTGGCAATCGTCTGACATCAGACGGTCGTCAGATTTGAACCGCAAGCCTGGCAAACGTCTGACGTCAGATGACCGTAAGATTGAAAATTGCTAACCTGACAATCGTCTGACATCAGACGGTCGTCAGATTTGAATTCCCCCCCCGTTCCGATCGCTTCCAACTTGCTCCTCACTCCTCGCCCCCCCCCCCGCCCCCAGAGGCATCCAACGGTGGCGAGGGAGGCGCCGGGCCCGCTCGAGAAGAGAGCGGGCTCGCTCGCGGACAAGCTGAGCTGCGTCCTCAAGCACTGCAGAAGATTGCGAGACAATGCAGTTCGCCGCCGCCAGGCGCGCGGGGGGCCGAGGGCAACGTCGACGACGGAGACCTTCACGACGACGATGTCGCCGACGACGGGGATTGCAACGATGAGGTGCACGGCTAAAGACGTCGACGACGAACCCGATGACGACGAACGTCGTGGACGACGGTGGTGGCGGCGATATGGTTGCGGCGTCGTCGTCAACGCCAAAAATCATGGTGGTGATCGCGATGGCAGTGGAGACAGTTTTTGCGACGGCGTTGACGACGATTATCGCAAGGCCCAGGCTATGATAGGGAGTGGCACGGGAGGTGGGTAGCGGTAGAAGGAGGCGCAGGAGCGGGGGAGCGGTAGGAAGGGGTAGGATGGGGTATGAAGGGAGGAGTGGTCGGAGGTGTGGAAGGGTGCGCAGAGTAGGGATTGGTAGGAGGGATTGGCAGTGGATACAAAGGGAATGGTAGGAGGGGGGGCGCTGCTAGGCGTTGACGGGCTGCCTCGCCGCCGAGCGCGAGAAGTTGGTGCGCCTGTGCAACCAGATGGGCGTTGACACATCCGAGTGC